ATGTCTAGCATAGGTTTTCCACTTTGAATTTTTTTATATGTTTCATGTGTTTCGTTCACCTTTTCCATTAATAAAATGAGCAATTTTCCTTTACATCTCGATCATAGAAATTTTCATTCATTCATTCATTCTCAATAAAAAAAATTAAAAAAAAAAGAATTACCGAACTACACCCAAGGTACACTAATGACTTGAGGAACCTTTGCAACCATGTCATTCCATGTTAACCATTCAATCACATTCCATTTCTTCATCAACCATTTTGAGCCTCGTCTAACGTTTGGCCTTCATTTCTTCAACCTACATTCACTTAACCCTGGGATAGGAAGATGTGTAATTGTATAACATTCAAAAAGTAAGTAAAAAAAAAGAAAGCAACAATAAAACAATGTCTAAAGGCAAGTGTTCCAATGTCTTTGATATGAACACGTCTCAAATTGGGTCTCTCATTGAGTGCTTGGTACCGTGCCTGAGAAACATGAATGCTAAGTGAGTGGTGGATCGCATGATCTGATATTGTCTACATTGATTCAAAAGAATAAAAAAAAGAGAAAAAAAGAAATTCAAAACAAAAACACAAAAAAAAAAGAAAAAAGTTGAAAATAAACTTGCAAAATTCAAAATTTTCAAATTCAAAATTACACATGTTGGGGATTCTCTCGGGTCTTGAGCCTTTTATCCCTTTCTTCCTTAAACCATCAACTTAACCACATTACAACCCTTGAAAGACCTCTTTGAGGTGTACATACACTTGTGCAAAGTTTGGTTAGAGCTACGTTCGGCCTGATTCCTAACGGATACGTAGGCAACCTCACATAGAGGTGCGGCCACATTCACATTCATATCTATACATGATCGAGTCAAAGAATATCCAATGCTTATCCCTACCCATTTAGATCTAGACTTGGGGGCTTGAACCCAAATCACATTAGCTTACCCAGCCTGAAGAGTCATCATCTTTAACTCTTCTCACATCTCTTTCCATCGCCATAACCTTTGCAGCCAGCCTTAGTATCACATTCACACACTTCACTCACACATCCGTATCCATATCAATCATCCTTCCCTTTAAGAGCCCTTTATCATGAAATCTTGTTTCAACACTGTGCATGTTTCATCATATTTAATGACAACATTCAGTAGAAGAAACATTGTATACTTGCTTAGCTTCCTGACCTGAGCAATGTTCATTGTTTTGCATAATGTGATGAGAAACATTTATATATTAATGATTTTTAATCATACAAAGCATATCGTTCTTAACTCCTTGACCTAAGCAACGTTCATTATGCAATAATCACTTCATCTGTATATGTGCTTAGCTTGCAGACCTAAGTGACGTTCAAGATTGTTTCTTGATTCTTATCTCCAAGACCTAAGTTCATTCATCTATTTTGTCACATGATGTAATTTTCCTTAGCCTCTTGGCCTAAGGGCATGCATCATGCATACATTACTTTCAAGAAAAGCAATTCAATCCACGCGATTCATTTTGTCTTTCTCAACGAGGTAGCTCAAAACTTCTTTCCTTTTTTCGCGTCTTTTCTTTTGGAAGGAAGTTCGAAAATAAAAGTTCAGTTTTCACATCTTTCTTTTTCGGGAGAAAGTCGGTACCCTCCAATCATGACAAAATTTGACAGAAAATTTTTGCTTTTGCATCTTCGTTTGCTTGTGTCTGCACATACACATATACATATACACGCACACTCACAAGTCATACACATGTCATGTCACATTAAGTCAAACTTGGTCAGGTTAGTGGTCAAATCAATCACAGTATATACGATTCCATTGGCAAATTTATTTTTGCAGGTCTTATCTACAGCCCACGACCGGGGACAAACGGACCATTTACAGCCCACGTCCGGGGATAATCGGACCATCTACAACCCACGTTCGGGGACGAGCGGACCATCTACAGCCCACGTCTGGGGACAAGCGGACCACCATCATTTCATGACGCAAGGTTCTCGATACACAGAGACTTGCAATCTCATCATCTTTCGACTTTCCTCAAGCATGGAAAGTATTATCCAGTGGATTTTTCTTTAAGTATAGAAAAGCGCCAAATCGGCTTTCCTCAAGCATGGAAGGCATTATCGGTGGAATTCTTCAAGCATAGAATGACACCATATTCATCAGTCGGCTTTCCTCTGGCTTGGAAAGCATTATCGGTGGATTCTTCTTCAAGTATAGAAAACCGCCAAGTCGGCTTTCCTCAAGCTTGGAAAGCGTTATCGGTGGATTTTTCTTCAAGTATAGAAAACCGCCAAGTCGTTTTCCTCAAGCATGGAAATCATCATCGGTGGATTTCTTCAAGCATAGAATGACACCATATTCATCAGTCGGCTTTCCTCAGGCTTGGAAAGAATTATCGGTGGATTCTTCTTCAAGTATAGAAAACCGCCAAGTTGGCTTTCCTCAAGCTTGGAAAGCGTTATCGGTGGATTTTTCTTCAAGTATAGAAAACCGCCAAGTCGGCTTTCCTCAAACATGGAAAGCATCATCGGTGGATTTCTTCAAGCATAGAATGACACGAATTCATACGTCAACTTTCCTCAAGCATGGAAAGTATTATCCGATATGTTTCTTCAGGCTTAGAAAACTAACAAACTCCTCAGTCGGCTTTCCTCAAGCATGGAAAGCGTTTCAACAGACGTCAGCCAGTGGATTCCTTCAAGCATAGGATGCTACCAAGCTCATTTGCCACCAATACACTGGTGTTAGATAAGCATTCTATCCCTTTACTCTTTTATCTACAGAACTAACATTTTTCTGCAGGTATCGGCGTATACAGAATGATTTAGGATCGCAGAACATCTTTAATCATTATCCGTCCCTATCGGCTACTTTGACTATCGTTTTCGAAACTGACGTTTCTACAAACTCAGTCAAAGTGGGGGCTTCTGTAGACACCTAAAAATGTCTCCCCAAACCAAACCCGTTGATGAACACCTTTCACCGCCATTATTAGTCGAGTTGAGTATTTAATCTTTGGAGTGATTAAATCCATGTTCTATCCATCATATTTCATGAACCAATCCAATTTCTAGCTCATTTCCCTAAACCATAACCTATTTTCCGCTTTTCGTGTCCACATCGCAAAACTGAGAGAAACTGATTTATGGATATACAATTTTTATGGATATACAATTTTGATCCAATTTTTATTTTTTGGATAGGATTTAAATAAGCTTTCCAACCATATATCATAAGCCCAATTCTGAGCTATAACGAAAAAGATATAAGCAAAACACTAAACTCGGCCTAAAACCGATACCCTTCCACTAAAACGGCCATATACTAAAATATACATATTATTTTGACCTGATTCTAATTGGGTTGGAAAGTAGACTTGATAATCTTTCCAATTATATATTATATTCCTCATTCTAAGTTACGGATCAAAAGTTATGATGGTTTTAAAAACGGGTAAAAACCTGGAATCACCGCGCACAGTGCAATTCCACCGTGTCACGGGAAATTGCACCGTCTAACGGTGGGAATCCCCGTGACACGGTGCCCTTGCTGTGGCGCGGGGCTATTCCATGTCCTATTTGCGTTCTTCGTACCTAAAAAACTCCCGCGTCATGGCATTTTCCACCATATCACGGGAATTTACACCGTCTGACGGTGGGATTCCCCGTGACACGAAGCTGTTTCCGTGTAATTTCCGCGTCTCCCATACCGTGGCACAGTGTACTGTACCGTGTCACGGTGGATACTGCCGTCTCACGGCACCTGTGCCGTGTCACGGGACATTCCGTGTCTTTTCCGCGTAAACCCTTAACGCGTTTTCTTACCCGTTTTCTGAAAATTTCCCGCGTCACACTAAAAATGTACTATGTCGTGGGAAAGTTTGTCATCTGACGGCGGGACTTCCCGTGTCACGGTACAGTTTGCCGTGTCACGGGATAATTTTATAGGGTTTTTGTCATTTTAGGGTTCCGTGTGCTCCCTCAGCACATTTTCCCTATAAATACCCCCTCATTTCTGATGTACGGGGCACCAATAATCATTCTCTCTCACCTTGCACCAATAATCATTCACTCTCACCTTGCACCAATAATCATTCTCTCTCACCTTACACAAAAAACCATTCTCTTTCCCTCTTTAACCTAATTTCTAGCCTCCTTATTCTTCCATAACAATTCCCCTAAGCACTCCAAGGATCTATACTTAACCCGAGGTTCCGTCCTTAAACCAAGGCGTGAAAGGTACAAATAACTGAGGGTTTGGACCAAATCAACTCTACTTTTTATTTAATTTAATTTTCATTTGATTTATTTTTTATTGAAGTTACTAACAATTTATTCATGATGTAGCAATTTAAAGGAACGCACGGAATGTAAGTAATAAATTAATTTAACTACTCTTTTTTTATTTTAATATTGATAGCATCATGATTATGTTATTTTGTATTTAATTTGACTAACGCTATTATTGTTGAATTGCTTCCAATATTTTTTTTTTTTTGGAAAATAAGATTTTATTACCAAAGAGAGAAAGTTACAACTTACAAAAGCTAAGTTATAACTACCACCAGAACACCACAAGACCTGAAAAATCAGGCCAACCCCAAAACCGGTTCTAGATCCAAACCTAGTCACCTTCTAGGAAGGGTTCTAGGAAGGGCCTAGAACAGCTGGACTCAGATTTCCAGCCACCTTCTAGGAAGGGTTCTGGAAACCAGGACCAGACAAAAACACAAGAAAATAAAGCAATAAAGCCATACACCCAAAAACCACCAAAACCAACTATCAGAAGCAGACATGCCTGCAAACTGACCAGTAAAACTAACAAAAACAAAAACGAGCAGCAGCAAAAGCACCAGGGTGAAGCCAACAGTAACCATCAGCAGACCAAACCCATGTCTGCTAAACAGCAGCACAAAACAGCAGCTTAGCACATCAGAACAGCAGTGCAGCGAACCCCAACAGCCAGTGCAGACAGCAGTGCAGACACACAGCCAGCAAGCAGACCAGCAGGGTAGAAAGGCATCAATGCAGATAGCAACAAGCAGCAGACAGCAGAGTTAAAGCAGGCAGACAGTCAGAAGACAAACAGTCAGCAGCAAACAGGCAAGTAGACAGCAGACAGCAGTGCATAACAGTCAGCATACTGCAGTGCAGCAAGCAGCAGACAGCAATGCACAGCAGTGCACAGTAACACAGACAGCAGAGCAAACAGACAGCAGTGCACAGCAAAACAGACAGCAGAGCACAGCAAGTAGACAGTAGTATGCAGCAACCAGCAGGGCAGAAAGCAGGCAGGCAAGAACAGCAAGAACAGTAGAAGCAACTCGGAAAGAAACCAGAACGCAAACACTAGAAGCCAGAAACAAGCTCCTAAACGATCAAATATTTGCTTCCCGCCGGGATTCTACAAACTGAATGGAAGACGATATCCCTAACTAGAGCATCAACAGATTTGCAACAACCAGTAAAGAGAACTGCATTCCTTTGTATCCAAATACCATAAATTGTTTCAGTGAAGGCCACCTGGATCACTTTGTTTTTCAACCTGGAACTTCTGCAGATTTTCTTCATCCAATCAACATCATCACTAAACTGCTGAACAGGCTTGGAAACCCGTAAGATACCCAACACCTTGCTCAAAACCTTCCTAGAGAAATCACAATCAAAAAATAAATGTTGAACACTTTCATTGCTATTCAGACACAAGAAACACTTTGGATCACAAGAAATGTGCCATTGAAGCAACCTATCCTTAGTGACAAGCCTATCCCACAAAGCTAGCCACAAGATAAACACGCTCTTAGGAGTTGCTAAGTTTTGGCAAATAACTCTCTTCCAAGGAACTTGAGGCCTAATAGCGGCATAAAGCTTCTTGATTTTCAACTTGTTGCCTTGTATGAAACCATCCCATCCCCCTTGATCATTCACAACATCTTTACAACTCAAAATCTTATTCAAGAACCAAGAGCATCTAGTAGGGGTAGGGGTGGTCCGACAATCTTTATGCTTGAAGTAGTAGATATGAACCCACTTAACCCAAAGATTATCAGCCTTGTGAGCAATATCCCAAAGTAACTTAGTGACAGCTGCTTTATTCCACTAAGGAAGATAAAGAAAGTTCCAACCACCACAAACTTTAGGAAGACAGACATTATTCCAAGCAACCAAAGATTTCTTAGCAGGGGCAGAGGATCCGGTCCAAAGAAAACACCTGAACCTAGCCTCAATCTCTCTCAGAATTTTCTTCGGTAGAATAAAAATTTGAGCCCAATAAGTCTGAATACCAAACAACACACTCTTCACCAATTGAAGCCTCCCAGCATAGGACAAGTGTTTAGCCATCCACCCTTGGATTCTAGCAGTGACCTTCTCCACCAAAGGCCTACATTGAGCAATAGTAAGCTTCTTGGAAGAGAGAGGGACCCCAAGATACCTAAAAGGAATGGTACCTTGAGAAACACCAAGAAGCTCCCTCAACTCTTTCTGAATATCAGCAGAGACCCCTCCAAAATAAACGTCACTTTTATCAAGATTGGCAGAAAGCCCAGAAGCACCCGAGAATTTCGAGAAGGCCTGAAAGAGAAGCTTAACAGAAACACTATCAGCTCTAGAAAACATCAGTTTGTCATCAGCAAACATCATGTGGGTTAGGTTTAACTTTTCACATCTAGGGTGAAAGTTAAAATCAGGAGTTAACCTAAGATCATCAAGGCATCTGGAGAGGTATTCCATACCAATAGCAAAGAGAAAGGGAGACATAGGGTCACCTTGTCTTAACCCTTTCTTAGCTTCAAAGGGAGGGGCAGGAACACCATTATTAAGAATAGAGTAAGAGACAGAAGTAAGACAGGTCCAGATCCAACCAACAAATCTCTGAGGGAAACCAAGCTCTTGCATGACAGTGATCAAGAATCCCCATTCAACTAAATCATAAGCTTTCTTCAAATCCACCTTAACCATACACCTAGGAGAGATAAATTTGTGATCATAGCCTTTGATCAGTTCAGTTGCAAGAAGGATATTGTCACCAATGTGCTTGCCTGGGATGAACCCTGCATGAGCATCATCAATCACCTCACCAATGACAGCAGCAAGCCTAGCAGTTATGACCTTAGAAATGAGCTTATATACCACAGTACAACAGGCTATAGGTCTAAAATCCTTAACATGAGAAGCAGAAAGGATTTTAGGAACCAGAGTGATAGTTGTACAATTCCACTGCTTAGGCAAAGTCCCTTTAGTGAAAAAATCAATAACACTGGCATAAATATCATCTTTCACAATATGCCAAGCTTTAGTGTTATCAATTCCCTTAAGGGTAGCATCAATTTCATCACGAGAAATAGGCCTAATGAGGTAGCTTTGAGCAGCAAAGCTGAGCTGCTTACCCCTCCTCATAGTGACAAGATCAACAGCAGGGAGCCAAGGAGCCTGAGTCCCTAGAAGAGACTTATAGAAAGAGATAATTTCATGAGAAATAGCATCTGGATCCTTAAGCAACACCTGATTAGAATCAAAGATGGAGTCAATTCCATTCCTTGCCTGTCTAGTCTTCATCATAGAGAAAAAATAGTGAGAATTGCCATCTCCAAGCTTAACCCAATTGATTCTAGATTTTTGCTTGAAGATGCTTTCCTAGATATCATTCCAATGTTTGACAACCTTAATAGCATCAGATTCTTTAGTATATAAATCCAAATCATCAGGATCCTGTGCCATTAAGGTTTGAATTCTAGAAAGCTCAACATTAGCCTGATCAATCTTTTCCTCAATGTTACCAAACTGCTTGCTATTAAAGGACTTAATACTAGACTTCGCAGAATTAAGCTTCTACCAAATAGAATTACCAGAACCTCAAGCCTGCGAAACAGTATCAAGGAAATCAGGGTGATCAGCAATACAGTTTAGAAATCTAAAAGGTCTACCTTGCCCCGCAGGGGCAGAACAAATATCCAAAAGAACAGGACTATGATCAGATAAAGAAGGAGGGAGATAGACAGTCTCCACATGCCCATGAGAGGCTAACCAAGCTTGGTTACCAAAAACTCTGTCAATCCTAGAGAGAGTTCTAGGGCCAGTATGAGCCTTATTAGACCAAGAGTAGAAGGCCCCTTTGCTTTTGATCTCTGTGAGGTCCAAATCGTCAACCAGGCTTTGAAAGTCTCTAGTCTCATAATCAGTAACATCAGTACCATGAAGCCTATCTGCAGTATGAAGAACAGAGTTATAGTCACCAACACAAAGCCAAGGAGAGTGCTGAATAGAGATGCTTCTAAGTCCCTCCCATAAAGGAAGCCTATCATGAATGGAGTGAAGCCCATAAACAACAGTGAGATGAATCTGAGTAGAGAGGTCCTTAGAAGAAACACTACAATGAATGAACTGTTCATGAACCTTCAAGACATTAACAGTTACTCTATCCGCATTCCAACCAAGCCAAATCCTCCCTTTGGGAGAATAGTCATAATTACACAACCAGAGCCAAGAAGAGCCAAACTTCCTCTGATAAGTGAGGACATTTTTCAATTTGATTTTTTTTTCAAGCAAACCAACAACATCAACTGAATGAGAATGAAGCAACCTCTTTACAGAGGCAACTTTGCCAGGGTCATTTAGGCCCCTGACATTCCAGACAGAGTAAATCATGACACCAAAGGGGGATTAACCTCACCCCCACTAGGATTTATAGTGAAACCACCTACACCATCCATTTCATTTGCAAATAAAGCAACAAAAGCATTAGAGGTAGAAGCAGGCTGATGAACTCTAGATTGCTGGCTTTTTGTCTTCCTTCCTACTATTCTCCACCCCTCATCTGAAATCTGAGAAGTATGAACCTGTGGAGTAATAATAGATTGTCCATGAACAGAAACACCAACATCAACAGCAGTAGTAGAAGCAGGGGCATGGTTAGGCTTAGGAACCCAAACCTGCTTTTGCTTAGAAGGAACAGGAGCCGGTTGCTTAGGAGCCTGCCTAGGCATAGGAGGCTTAACAGAGCAATCATGACCAACCCTGTTACACTTAAAACAAAAAGGAGGGGCCCACTCATACACTACCTTGAGCTCCAAAAGTTCCTTCGAAGGACTTTCAACCCATACAGAATTAGGCATAGGCTTTGTAACATCAATTTCAATTAGAACTCTAGCAAAAGACACTCTAAGTTGCCCAGTAGTACATTCATCAGCACAAATTGGCACTCCAAGCAAGCTACCAAGGCGGCTAAGAGTGTCAGATCCCCAACAATTAAGCGGGAGATTAGGGAACTTAACCCAAAGAGGAACAGTTCTAAGAATTTCAGCATTAAAATCAAAATTAGGACACCAAGGCTTCACTATTGCAGGCTTTCCAAGGAACATATGAGGACCAGAACAAAGTATAGTATCTTTATCATCACTAGAACATAGATTAACAATAAAGTACCCATCATCATGCCAATAAACATCTGGTTTTTGCATATCATTCCATTGTTGAGCAAAAAAACGAAGAACAGCAGCAATAGTGGGGTAGAAGCCAACTACATAGAAGACTAAAGCATTAGCCCATTTTTTATTACCTGCCTCAATTTCAGCTGCCTGCAGCTCAGCAATAAGTTTCCCTTCCTGCACTTTCGGAGCAACAAAGGATAATGCAGCCCCCTTTGCAGCCAACTTTCCAGTAAAAGGAGCAGCTCGACCTTCACTCACATTTTACTCCAGAACAGGGGAAGAGGCAGCCCAATCCTCATTACAGTTACGCAAGTTCAGAGAGGAAGGAGTAACTCGATCCTCATTATTCTTGTGCACGTTCTGCTCCAGAGGGGGTGAGGAATGGCGAAGAGAACTCCCTGGCTCAGCATGCCCAGATCCACCATCATCCAATGGAACAGTAAACCCAAAAACCCTAGGTAATGTTCCATTGGATTGACTCGACCTAGCAGTAGCTTCAGCAAAGAGGGCAATGGTCTCAGCATCACTCCTGGGAATAGCTCCACAAGCTGGATGCACTAACGCCGGCGCCGGAGTAACCAATTCATCCACCTCTTGAATCGGACTAGGAATGAAAGAAGTACCTGAGTTTCTCAAATTCTGCAAAATCGAATCAAAGGCTACATGAGTAGTCTGTTGTCGCGCTAGTTGAGGAGTAGAAACAGTCTTCTTCTTCTTAGCCATTGATATCCAGATTTGATGAAGAAACCAGTCAAAAATGAAGAACCATGGAGAAGAAAGAGAAGAGAGAAAGTCAACGCAAAAGTCAACCCAACACTTATTTATATATATTTATCAATATCTTTGCTTCCAATATTAATGTTTATTCTATTGTTATTATGATCACCATATTGCATATTAAAGGGAATATGTAATTGAAAATCACGCCTAATAAGATAATTTGGACAACCGGTTTAGGTTCCTTTTTAATCTTGTTGTTTAATTCAAACGATCACAAATATTTTAGAATTATGTGTTGCATTAATATTCAACCAATTTAGCATAATAATAGATTGGAGCAAATTGAATCTTTGTTTGTATGCCTTTGAGATCGCAGGAATCACTTTTCAATCTAAGAATCGAGTAGAGGCCAATACGGGCGAATGTGACTCCATGACTCACTTCGTACCATCATCCCCGATCCTCCTTTCGTGGTTCCGAACCATATGGAGTTAGTAATCTCATGGATTATGAATGGGGTGTAACCTTCACGGGTCAATTGTTGTTTCCTTCGTTGTCCCTTTATCGTGGTTGCCTTTTATGATCCGTGAACGGTTTACAAGTTCCTTAAAAACTTGTTGGCGGCTCCCTACTTTCCTTGTCCCTAATCGTATATGTCAATTCCTACTTCCTAAGAGTGCCAAGCATATTCACAACATGCTTTTTACGTAGGCGCACTTGGAGCGACACTTACAATATTATATTCACACACTTAAATCAAGATCATATCAAGGGATCTCCTATGCTCATCCCTATCTACTTAGAGCGAGACTTGGGGGCTTGATCCCTACATCATTAGCTTACCTTAGCCTAAGAGTCACCATCATTTGACTCTTTTCAATATATTTTCCACACTTAGCCCTTGCAGCCTAACTTTAGTATCACTTTCACACACCGCACATATACATGACCAAATAGTCTTCCCCTTAAGAGCCCTTTGTCATGAGATCGTAACAAGACATTGAAGCATGCCTTGTCATATCAAAATATCTCATCACTTGTAATCGTTATCGCATCACAAAGTATGAAGTGCTTAGCCTCCGTGCCTAAGTTAACTACATACCTTCATTATTGAGTCAACTAGGATAGCCTAGGATGAATTAATCCTTGCACCTTGAGAGATAGTATCAAACGACATTTTACTAAGCTCATTCAACATGCACCCTCAAACACTTTGATTCTGTTTCAGGGAGAAAGTCGGTACCCTCCACAAAAATGACGGAAAATTTTTAGACGGAAAATTGTTGCTTTTTTCGCATTTTCGAGTCGCACGATCACATTACAATGCACACACGAGTCGTGTACACATTGAGTCATGTCATGTTATCACATTGAGCAACACTAAGTCTTAGGTCAACCCTAAAGAAAGATAAGCAAAGTCCTATAGTCAAAGATATAAATGTAGGTGCATCCAAGCAAGAGAGGAAATTCTCGGATTTTTTTTCGAAAAACTGCGAATATGACACAGGAGATTCCTCCAAGATAAGGGGATTTACATAGATCAGTATATTAGAGATGAAGAGCTTTAATTTATAGAATATTTGAGCGGATTTGGTTGAAAGAAAACGACCAAGCTCAAAGTTTGGAGCAAAACCATGCAACAGCGGCAGCAAGAGCATAATAGGGAAGACCCGACTCCAGCGCCAGATGACAAGGTTGTCACTTGGCGATAACATCTTTCGTCTGGCGACAAACTTCAGCGCCTGGCACTAGATCCCAGCATCTGGCGACAGAGCCAATTCTTGGCGCCATCGATATTTCAGCAGCGACAGAGCTCGAAGCCTCTCAGAATGGTTATTTTGACCTCATACAGTAATTTCGGGTTCCTTGGTACGCCATTTAGCCCCTATAAGCCAATTGACATGGTTAGTAGTCGGCTTGATTACAATCGTAGTAAATGATTGACTTGACAAAAAAGCATCTCACTTAGCTTAAGTGCCTAAGCATTGGCTCATTACAAACACCAAGGCATCGGTTCAATAACAAGCGCATCACTTATACGACAATTTTTCCAAGATTGGATTGTCATCTCCAACTAACAATATTTCCAAAATATGGATTGTCGCGCATCTTCTTCAAACAACAATTTTTCTAAGATTGGATTGTCATCCCTGGCAAAGTTTCCAAGCGTGGATTGTCGTGCTCCTTCTTTGTTTGGTAAGTTTTTTTAAGTTCGGATTGTCATACATTCATGGATCTTTGGCAAGTTTTTCGAGATTGGATTGTCATACACCCAGTTCCCTATGGCAAAATTTCCCAAAGGATTGTCGTAGGTCTCTACTCATCATAAATTTCGGCAAAAGTTCCTCGATGTGGATTGTCATTCATTTCAGCAAGTGGCATATTTTCCCGAAGTGGATTGTCGATCGACTCTTTTTTGGCAAATGTTCCAAGACACGGACTGTCAATTGTGGCAATATTTTCCTAAAAGGATTGTCGCATAGCATTGGCAAATTTCCAAGGTAGATTGCTTTCAAGAGTTATATTCCAAGATGTGGATTGTCAATCGTAGCAAAGTTCTTATGACAGATTGTTACGAAGCATTGGCAACTTTCCCCAAAATTGGATTTTGGCAAATTTTCCTAAATACAGATTGTCGCTTCATCGTAGCAACATTTCCAACGATGGATTGTTACATAGCATTGACAAAATCGGATTGTCATACATCATACAAGAGTTGTGTTGGCAACTATTCCCAAAGAAAAGAGGATTGTCATCACCCAAAGCATCAACAGCAAAATTCAAGCAGCATTAAAGATCAACAAGCAGTGGTCTTTTTGAAGACTATCACGGCGGAATTGGAGGCAGTTACAGGCGTAGCAGTCTTCCGGTGGTATTTTCTAGCTTGCATAAGATCGTCAAAACAAACAGCATGATGGCGTTCCCTAGCTTGCGGAAGGTTAACACAACAACAGCAATGCAACAACAACAAATCAGTTACCCTCAGAGACGTGTGCTTGACTGTGCAAGATACGCGTTTTTTAACTCTCTTATCTGTTTTAACTAATGCTAGTTTTGCAGGTATCGGCGTTACAAGAATGATTTAGGATCGCAGAACGTTCTGAATCATTCTCCGTCCCTATCGATACTTTGACTTTTGTTTTCGAAACTTGCGTTTCTCCAAACTCAGTCAAAGTGGGGGCTTCTGTAGACACCCATTTGTGTCTCCCCAAAACCAAACCCAGTGATGAATACCTTTCATGTCATTTTGATTATCGAATGAAGCGAAAGTGTGAAAAGTCTAGTGATGAGGATGTTTTTATTAAAATATCTCTTCTTTCTGTTTTTGAAAATATTTCTTTTCTTACCTTATTTATGAAAAACGTGCATTCTAGTTTAGTTTGGTCCATGATAAGGGTCCAATAATAGTGTAGTTGGATAGGCTTGAAAATACATTTCCAACGATACATTATAAACCCAATTCCGATGAATAATAAGGAAGTTATGGCCAAAATACTA